TTTATACTTTACATATTTCACTCAGTTAGAAGACCTTTGTTATTTAATATTGAACTGAAAAATGGAAAAATTAGACTAACTTCCCTTAACCGACTCCCTAGATTTTATTTACAACGGAAAAATTTTCTTCTTACTAACTTAACGTTCCTTTGACCAAAAAATACAAAGGACTAACTATTTCCTGTACTAAAAATTCAAAATGTTAACAAAAGTTTGAATCCATCTGAAGGATACAGTTCTGTTTTTTAAACCGGTTGAAATGAAATGAAGATTACTATTTAAGTGACAGGAATGCTGCAGACATGCGACGGATTACGTAATGTAGGTAGTTTTAATTTTTATCCTTTTTAGAATATTACGCTGATTGGTTTCCGCGCGTTTAAAAATTTACGTTATTATTAGCACTTATAGTAATAGCCACTAATTCATGCAAATTAAACTTTATTTAAAACCAGGCGGTTGTTATAATAATAATACCTATATTGCTCAACAGTTTACAAAAACAAATTACAGGACAATCATAAAAACACGTTATTTTTAATGAATGAAATTTTAATGAAGGTAATAATAATCTAACAATATAATATTACCCTCATGGGTGAAAACTTGCGCTATTGTTCGTATTTACGGTGATGGTTTCGGGAAAATATCACTTTCAAGTGAAGCTTAATTCGCGTTTGATTATGTGTAAGTGGGAGAGAAATACCAATAGAGAACAATCTAATAGCAGGTTACAAAGGGAAAAACTACGAGTAGAAGAAATGGGTCGTTTTATGTTCTCCTGATACCAAAATTGACGCGTCAGGAGAATGGGAACCGACAAATTATAATTTATTATACAATTTGTATTTCGTGTTTCCTTTAGGCATCATCTCGTGTTTTATGTTCTCTTGATACGAAAATTTATCTTAACAGTTGATGTATTGGGAGGATATCACCATCTCGAGTTCTCACTAACCAATATGTGTGTGTCTGTGACTGAATCAGATTCTTAAATAGTAGGTGATGATTTCCTAATACCCTCATACATGTTATCAAACTCTATTAGCAGTATAGGAAGTGGAAGGATATACGTCGCGCTGTAAACTATAAATCATGTTCTCCTAACACGTAAATTTCTGTCAGAACTTAATGTATCAGAATCATAGGGGTCGCTAAATAAAATATGATTTATCAAATTGATTCTGTATGTTCTTTGCGATAATCTTTGTTATTCATGCTTACGATAGTACGCATGATGATTTCCTGATACCAAAGAGTAACCATAATACTATGGGTACTCTTTGCTGATACCTTCATGTACAACAGTAACTCATAAGCATTATAGAGGGCGTCGTATTCGGTTGTACTGTGAGCTAGCACCCCCTTGCATTTTATAGTCTCCTAATACAACCACTTATCGAAGAAACAAATGTATTAGGAATCGATAAATGAAATAATTAACCCCTTAACACTACAGTGTATCAAGAGGATAGGAGCACTATTATTTCCTATGCTTTCTTAATCCACCTCATCCGTCAATGTATCAGATTTTTCAAAAGGAGATAAAAATGGGTCGCGCTTTTTATATTCTCCTGATACAAACATTTTTCTCAACAATTGATGTACCAGGGAGGATAAGAACAGGTAGATGAGGAAATTTATAACCAAATTGATTTTCTACATTTTCCTTGTGCCAATCGCCCGTGTCCGTGGGTGTGTCAGATTCTTAGGATAGTAGAATATGCTCTCCTGATACCTATAACTAACAACCAATCTGAATTCAAATATTGACAATGCAGATCTATATATTACAGTGTCCTATTTGTAAAATTTTTAAGATTGTGACGTCAATTATTGTTTATGTTCTATCACTACCAAGCATTTTATTCCTTTAGCTTTTCAAGACCAGAACAAGGATCTCTTAGTCTGCCTTGTTTCCCCCTTTTGGTAAGTATTTTGCCCTCTTTTTTGGAAGTTACTAAAGACCAAGTGACGCTTATCCGGTTTACTATTATTACATTTCCCTTTTACTTATTTTTGCTTGTGTATAAAAACCCCTATATTTACCCCGATCCACCTCTACTTTATCTGAGCTTACCGTGTGCTTATCTCAAGGTAATTGCCCAAAGTGAAGGTAACACTTGTTTTCTCCCCTATTTCCCTTCTTCTTTCTCTCTCCATTATTTCTCTATATCTGTCTCTCTCTCTCTCTCTTCTGTACACTCTCTGTCCCACGACCCCTTTGTTATTTTTCTCCCTTCCCCTTCAGTTATTTGTTCCGACGTTATTGCTTTTTTGATAATCTTCTTTATATTATTCAACTCCTTCTCTGTACCTATTTCTTCTTCTTGTTCCTCTAGTCTCACTCTTGAACTTCTTGTCCACAACTGTAACTCCCTTCGTCTTTGCGTCTTTTCATTTTTGATCTTCTTACTCCCCTTTTAGACTCAATCGGTTAGTGATCCTTCAATTTATCTTTTTTTTCCGTATTATAATTGTATTTTGTATTGTGTAATCAATTAACGAACGACCTCGCCTTCTCTCTCCCATGTATGCGAATTTTCCGTTCCTATCCCCCTCCATATTTCCGTTTGGAATTCTCCAACCTCTCTTTTCTGATAACTCTAGTAACACTTTACCTGTTGACTTTCTAGCTTGTGTCCCCATCTCTACACACCTTTCCTTTAATTCCTGTTCCGCCATTAAAATCACCTCCCAATGTTAGCCCACCTCCTCATCTACCATGCTCTTTATATTTTATTTGTTAAGTCCTTCGTTCCTTCTCTGTTGTATCACTGTCATTTTCTTCTCTCGTCCGCCCTCCTCTTTTGTTTCCTCCTCCATTCCCTTATCCCTCTGTTAATATACCTCCTTCTGTTCTTCCCTTTAAATTGTCCCTCTTCCCAAATTGATTCTTCGGTATATTTTCATTCGGAATATAATTTTCAAGTTATCCATATCCATTTTTATTTCGTTTTTCGCTCCCCCCCTCCTTCTATCTTTTCTTTTGCTGATAGTTTCTTCCTTCCCTCTCCCGTCTTTTTCTTGTCTGTTGTCATTAATCCTTTTTCTTTGGTACTCCGTCTGCATCATTTAGATGTTACCATTAGTTTCCCATCTCTCTTGCCCTTACTTCTTTTCCTTTCCGCAACCTCTCTAATTTCTCTTGTACCCTTCTTTCTTCATATCTCAAGACGTCATTTATGTATATCCCGCTCTTCTTTAACTGCCCCTTACCCCTCGTAACGGCCATCTTCTTTTCCCATTTAAGTTCAACAATTACTGCCTTATTTCCCCTTCCTTCAAAGGCTCTCGCCTCTTTTACATTCGCCCCGTTTTTTTAGCAATTCCATGAAGATCTTCAAGAATAACTTTCGGATTTTTGTTTGTTGTTTGGAGCCTTCAAAGAGCTTGGGGGTCCTTAAGATTCATGCAACATTTTAAAACTGGACTTAAAGTCTATGATTTTGTGAGTAAGGAGCCCATCTTTTGGTTAGGTTTTTTAGTCTTTGGGGATTTACATGTTATTTTATGGGTTTATAAAGATCTTCGTTTATTTAACTTTATTTATTAAGATAGTACTGGACACTAGATTAAAATTAATTATAAATTTGAATTATTTGGCTTAAATTTTTTATGGGGCACCTCAAAATCCAGTAATCCAGTAATCCTTTTGTTAACCATTTTTTTTCCCGTTATTAATGGGACACATGGGGTTTGAACACTATTGGCTATACACTGTGGTGACTTCTGGGACTAGAGCCTTTACACTTAGCTGTGAGGGCAGAGGCTCGGAAGGCTTCCGTACGGCTAAACGATTGGGGAGAGTTGAAGGGTCGAGACAGCGATGGGCACGGGCGGATCTGGGAGGAAACACTTACATCCAATCTCCTCCTCGCAAGAAGGTATTTGATCCGAGCTGCCTTACTAAGACCAAAGAGGTATAAAGTTACTCGCCTGTACAGAGAGCAGCGACTGAACTCAGATTGCCCGTTCCTCAAACCCGGGGGCTCGTGTGGTTAACGGACGGGCCCCTATAGCAAAAAGGAGAAAGGGGCTGAACAGTATGGTGACGCTGAGGGCTCTGTCAGTGCACAAGTTTAATAATAATAATAACCAGCAACTGGACTCACGCAGTTCAGGGCCTTCTTAACAGGCCCCCTTGGCAATTCTGAGTCTTCTAAGCTTCTAAAACTGAATAGAAACCAGATTAGGAAGATCAGGGGCACTGGATGGCCAACTGTCACCTGCATAACATTTAGTTTGTGGAGGAGCCCACGTGCAGGTCCTGTGGCGAGACAGATGAGACTATACCGATCATGTGGTCTGTCACTGTGACGCTTTGATCAGCTCCTTGGCGACAAGGTTCCAATTTCCAAGAGTCTTCCCGAAGTCCATAGAATTTTTTCCTTTCTTTAAAAGGTGTTTTTTAGAGACTTGAAGCTTTAAGAGCGCTCAAAAACATAAAAAAATCTTCAAGCTTTTAAACACTATTATTATTATCGTCCAACCTATCAAATAGATTTTTTGAATTCTCAGTTTTTGAATGTTCTCTCTGGTTCTTCAAGTTGTTCAGATTTTTCTGTTTCTTCCGCTTCTAAGAACCTTCCCGACTCTTTATATCCTTGAGATTCTCCAGATTCTTTTCGTGCCATTTCAGTTTTTAAGGGGAAGGGGAAGTTTGATTTAGAGTTCTTCATTAAAACCGCTTGACGTGATGTTAGTGGATTCTTGTTTTGTTAATTTGAAGAATATGAAGATCTTCAAGAATAACTTTCGGATTTTTGTTTGTTGTGTGGAGCGTTCAAAGGGCTTGGGAGTCCTTATGCAAAACTTGAAAAAAATACACTTTTGGACTTAAAGTCCACGATTTTGTGAGTAAGGAGCTCATCTTCTTTGGGGATGTACATGTTTTTTATGGGTTTATAAGAATGTTCGTTAATTTATTTTCATTTATTAAAATAGTAATGGACACTAGATTAAAATTAATTATAAATTTGAATTAATTGCCTTAAACTTTTTATCGGGCACCTCACAAGCCAGTATTTCGAAGAATCCATGGCCTTGCGTCAGTAATTGACGAGTAAACATCGGGTTGGCCACCGCGGGCGCACGACTGATCCAACGATAAGACACCGTAAAGTTTCCTAGACCCGAAACTTCCACCTCGGCTAACCAGTGGACTGCCGACGTCACCGACGCATGCACCTCTAAACGACTTGGCTAACGTGCACAGATAGGATTTGGTGAGTTTTTGACGGAGAATCGTGCCGCACTGGGCGATGTCAATTGACCTCGTTACAATCATAGTGAGATTGCTCGACGGGTTTTTGAACGGATACGATGTTGCGCCGTGACCAACCAGCACCAGGGTCTTTCCGGTGGAGATAATGTCCGACGCCAGAAGTATCGAGGAAACGTTCTGGTTGAAAACGATGTTTCTGGTTAGCCGGACCAGGGCCGTATCATTGGCCTTGGTTATGCGGTTAAAGTAGGGGTGGATGTCAATTCGGTCGACCGCGTAACTAGCGCCGATTCGGTTCAAGGAATCGGTTCCAACTGCCACAAAGAGACTCCTGCGGTCAAGGCTAAACCGACATTTATTAACCGTGGAGCTCCCAAAGATGAGCACTTACCCATAGACGCACTGAGCCGCCGTTATCACCCACTGTTTGCCAATGATCGACGCACCACAACTGTACTTGTTGGGGTACATGCGAATTGAAGCGTAAAAGGGAAAGTTGCTGATCTTGGTATTCGTCCCTCCTATGATCGACTCCACGTTCGCCAAACCTGCAAACCAAGAGAGCGGTCAAGTCTGTGAAAGCGAAATGGAAATTAATACTCAAAGCAAAAACGACGGCACCAAGCAAATAGGATCTCATTGTTTCTTCCGTATAGATTGGACTGACTATGGAGAGATCTCACGCCCCTTCCAATAAATACCATTTTTTGAGGTTAATCTAATCTTAGAACAAACTGGTGTTTTGCATTCTGTAATAATTTTAGGTTTTCATTTGATAAGGGATAAGGTATTATCAGTCATTGATATTTACAACATACGAGGATATTTTGAAACAAAAAGACAATAGTCTAGGAGACATAGAGTTTACGCAATTGAGGGATCAGTCACCGGTATAGGTACATCAGTTTTTTTCCCGTTATATTGTATATACTTGTTCTGCATTCCTTGTAAAGGATTTAACGGGTTTTGCTTCAGTACCACCTACCCCCTACCCCAAGAATATAAACATTCGAAAAATCGAAGCGATTAGAAAAGATCGCAAAGATCTTGGAAAATCGAAAGAACTCAAAGAAACACATACAAAAAATTCCAACTTAAGAATTCGAGAATCTAAGAGATTGGCAAGTTTGAAGAATTTTTGAAGAAATGTTGAAGAATTGGAAAAACATCAATGCTGTGAGCGATAAGTCCATTTTACAATAAATTGAAGAAACTAAGAAATTTCAAAAATGTGAAGCCCGGAAGGAGTGTGAAGGCTTCGCAGACCCAAAGAGAAACATTAAAAGAAGAAATAAAACAACTCAAGGATGGGGAAATTGGAAGAATTTGAGGTAACCTTAGAATCAGAAATGTCCGAAAGGTCTTGTGGAATCGGAGGGAATTTGCAGAAATCGAAGAATGGTAAGAATCTGAACCCCGCGCGGAGGAGGCAAACGTCGGGCGCGTCCCCCGGTGGCGGAAAGGGGGACACAGACACCTGAATGATCGTGCTTCGGTGTAGGTAATGATGGTTTTAAGTGACTCGTTGGGGTCAAGACTGAGGACCAACCTCCCAAGGCAAGTTGTTAGCGACCGTTCCGAGGACTGCGTGGAACTGGGGGTGCGATGTCGAGAATAGTGCCCGGGTGACCACCGAGCTGCCAGCCAAGCCGCATTTCCGCACTACTCGGGGGCATTGTATGGCCGACTATTCAAACAAACCCTTTTCGAGCTCCCCGTTACAAGGGACCAACCAGCCGGGCCCTCAAAAGGGGTCCTACAAAGAGGGGACGGCTCTACCGCAGGACCCTATTCAAGGTTCTGGCGGTGGGACAGCTACTATTCGCAATAACACTGGCGCACAGTAGGCCGTGACCAGGAAGCGCCAAAGTCAAAGCCCAAGGCTATGTCTGGGTCGACATCAGGGAACAAGCGTCTCCGATCGGAGGGAAGCACTCCAGGGTCTGGCTTAGAGGAGCCCGAGAAGAAGCCTAGAGGTTCTGAAGCACCCAAAGTTGCAGGCCCACCGCGAACCAATGGGCAAGTCGCTGGGGAGGGGCTGACACGTGGAGGTGGACATTACTGAGCCTCAGTCAAGGTGCATGATGGCTCCGCCGGAATCAGTAGGGAGCCATTGTGGCCGAATGCGCGAACCAGTGGACCTTGCACTAGTTGCAGAGGACAGTTCCTCTTATTAGGCTCTGGAATGGCGCATCGTCGTGTTCCCGGATGACACGGCCACCATCTTGAAGGGCCCCCAGAGTCAAAATCCTGTTTTCAGGACGAGTCTATAGAGGACGTTCTTCCGCAGGCAGTAGCGTGGTAGGGTCCTCCTCATTTAGTGTCGATTACGCATCCTATCGGGCACTCCACCGGCAGAATATTCAGGCACACGCGGGGGTCTCTCTTGTGACGGAAGCGAGTGCTCCGGCTGCGCCAGGTAAGGGAGAGATCTCCACCGGAGCAGGAGGACCCAGTGCCGTTGTGACAGAGAGGGTTCCGCCCCTCACTGTCAATCTCGAAGAGGCGTCGGGATTGTTACCGACACCCTCTGAGATCGAGAAAGATTGGCGAGTTCTTGACTCGTGTGGCGGTTCTTGGTTCCGACCAGCGGTCGGAATCGTCGGTATCGCTAGGGGAGGGGGGAACGTTGTACAATCAGTGATGGACAAGGTAACCTTCTTACAGAGCAATTCGCAGCACAGTAAGGGGGTGACCTGTTTATGTAAAGCAGACGTTTGCTTCAGTTTACAGGGGCCGGGTAAGAGGTCGAGTCTTATCCCCTATCTCCCGTACGATTCAGAAGAGACTCCACCAACCAAGGAGCTGGCCGAGTTGATAGAGAACTGTCGAAATAGTAGGCTCCCTTTTGTGGTTGGCTGTGATGCAAAAACACACCAGCGCGGATACGACCTGGGGGGGACGGGACACCTTCTGAAGTACTTGCAGACAACTGATTTGAATGTTTTAAATCAGTGAGCAGCTTCGACACAGCGCGGGGGCAGGCGGTTATTGATCTGACGTTGGGCTCCTTTTTAATAACTCACATGATCTCGAATTGGGGAGTGTCACTGACCGGGACTGCTAAATGGCGAAACTGTCAGAGCGGTTGGTTGTACCACCTTTCTGCGCTCAGAAAGCAGGGCAGGTGGAAGAGGCGGCCGCATTAGTAAGGGATGCGATAACAGCCTCGTGTGAGGACATATGTAAACTACGAACCCTTCGAGGAACGAAGAGAACACCAAGGACCATATTCACTGCGAGGATCATACAGGACCTTCTGAGGTAACATGAAGGGTCTTCTTGCAGTTCAAACACTTCGCAAGATCCTTTTGTAAAAGCCGGCGCAAACAGTGGGGGCACTGAAGCTTCCATGCGGCAGATAGACATCTATCGCGGGTGAGGTTTTCACATGAAATACGCTTTCTAGGCTCTGGGAACTACGTAACTTCGGACCCACCAAGAGCAGCTACCCGGGTCGGTGTAAGACCGATGGACTGGGAAGTCTCTGCCTAGGTGGTTACCGAGGGAATAGGCGGTCAACACGATCAGCCCATTTAAGATCGCAGAACCGAACGGGACATTTCCGGCTCTTCTGCAGAAGGGCCTGGAGCCGGTGCTCTTACGTTTGTTGCACCTCTTTAGAGCCTCTCTAGCTTTAGAGTACATCTCTAAAAACTGGGAAAAGGTAAGAGTTGTGTATCTACCTCAGGATTACAGGCCTATCAGCCTTACATCATTTCTTGAAGGCTTGAACTCTATTGGCTTTACACTGTCGTGATAAGGACTGCAATACTGTATGGCGTACAGGAAGGAGATAGAAAGTCTTCAGAGACTCGCCTGTCTGGGAGAAACTGGAGCCTTGAAAACCACGCCAACTTTGGCCATGGAGGAACTTCTGGAACTAGAGGTTTTACACTTAGCTGTGGAGGCAGAGGTTGGGAAGGCTTCCATAGGGCTGAAGGATTGGGACGAGTGGAAGGATCGAGGCAGCCTTGGGCACGTGCGAATCTCGGAGGAAACCCTCAGATCTGATCCTCTCCTCGCAAGAATGAACGTGATCTGGGCTGTCTTACTAAGACCAGTATTAAAGACTGGCCAGGCTCAGTGACAACAAGCAAGTGGACCAGGGCCTTTTTTAACAGAGACTCTGGGCAAATATGAGACTTTTAAGCTTCTAAAACTGAATAGAAATCAGATTAGGAAGATCACTGATGTCCTTACGGGGCACTGGATAGTCAACTATCACCTGCATAACATTGGGCTTGTGGAGGAGTCCACGTGCAGCTTCTGTGGCGAGGCAAAAGAAAGCTCCTTGGCGACAGCTATATCAAACCGGGGAGGGCAAAGCAACTTAGGTTCTTTATTGAGAGGTACGGGCTCTGAACCTAGCTAGGAAAGAAAGGGAATAGGCACAATGGGCCTTTGGTGTGCCTAAGCGCTGCCCGGTCGGCCCCCCTGTGAATAGATAGATAGATGGAGGGATCTGAACCATGTAAAAATCTAAAGAAGAGAGTTATTTCCAAGTCTTCCAGAAGTCCATAGATTTTTTCCTTTCTTTAACAGCTTTTAATGGTCTTAAATGGTTTTGAGAGACTTTAAGAGCTTCAAGAGCGCCCAAAAAACCTTTAAAAATTATTATTATTATTATCGTTTGAGTTATTAAAACTTTTCGAGTGTCCAAAAGACTTTTAGAACCTTTAAAGCAAGGACTTTTAGAACCGTTAAAGCATTTAGTGTTAAAGAAAGTCTTAGGAGTCGAACCTCTCGTTATTTGAAGAGTTTTCATAGGTGCCTAGTAATTGTTGTACGAGCCATTGAGCGTTTTTATACATCTATAACAAGCTCCGGGTTTTTATAAGTTGCGAAATTTAATACCCCTTAGGAATCCTTACAAAACTTTATAGAGCTTTAGTTAGAGCCCAAGGTTTTGATGCGAAAGTAAGCAACTGACGGGTTTTTTTAAAATTCTTTAAAACTTGCGAGGTTTTTAAATTTGAAAATCCTTCGCACCTTCTTCCCCGTTTCGTGTGCTCTAGAGCTCTTTGGACCGACCTAAAGTTCCGGAGCGAGATTTATAAAACCCCCCTAGTGCTGTACAACGGACTCTGAGAAAGGTCTAGAGGGTTTTAAAAGTATCGGACGAGAAGTACTTTTCAGTGCAACAAAAGGTTCTATAAACCCTTTTCGGATATCTCCGTGCCCTTCATAGGGTTTTTATGTGCCATTTTAGGGAGCTGTCGGCTCGTTTAACATTGGAAAAGATTGAAAACGAAACTGGGAAAGCTCTAGAAAGCTGCAGAAGACGATTCTGTATTACGATATTAGGGTGTACACTGTACAGGGTCCACGCGTACCTAGGTCTCAAATTCGGGCTCTTTGTACTACCTCCCGGACTAGAGTCGTCCGACCCCTCAATGTCACTCAAACCATTCCACACGTTGGGAGGGGAGGCAGCCGTGGGAGTTGTTCGCATCGCGTCCGTGCAAACAAGGCACGCAAATCTTTGCACATGGTTGTGGAGAGCCTGGTTCTAGGCCACCAGAGAATTGCTGCATAGCAGAGTATAGGTCTTATCACGGCAGTGCACGGCCACAAGACAGCCTTCGGAGATGGTCCACAACGTCTCCCAATTGCTCGGCGACTCTGCCAGAAAGCCCTATTGACTTTCTTCGGCTTTGAGCTG